TTCTAAAGCATTCTTCTCTGGAACTTTCCCGGGAGCTTCCTGTGACCTTTTTTTTTTTTTTTTTTTTTAACTTTTCCTGAACTTCCTCACAAGGGTCGGTCACCCAGCATTCAAGTTCGAATCCTGCCCAACGGTCCGAGTTTAAGGGAAAGGGCTGTAGCGAACACAAGGGACGTGAACTTAGAATGACCCAAAATTCGTCTAGAAAACCACCCTGTGTATACCTCACTTAGTCTTTATGCATATGTATTATTTAAGTATACCTCAGTTTTTAGCTTTAATTTTTTTCTTTCTTTTTTTTTTTTTTTTAACTTTTCCTGAACTTCCTCACAAGGGTCGGTCACCCAGCATTCAAGTTCGAATCCTGCCCCAGGGTCCGAGTTTAAGGGAAAGGGCTGTAGCGAGCACAAGGGACGTGAACTTAGAATGACCCAAAATTCGTCTAGAAACCACCCTGTGTATACCTTTATGCATATGTATTATTTAAGTATACCCCAGTTTTTAGCTTTAATTATTTGAGAAAAGAGTACTTAATTATTTTTTTCTAGAAAGATGATATTTTATTTTAATAGTTTTGCATGAAGTTCTATATATTTCTATATTATATTTTTTATAAAATAAGGAAATTGTAAAATATGATAGTTTACCCTACAAAGTATGAGTGTTTTTGTTACCCCCACCATACATTCTCTTTATTTAAAGGGTACGCTATTATATTTCAATAGAATTATTATATTAAGGTTGTATAATTGATATTTTTGTAAAGAAAACAATATAAATTATTTTTGACAATGGAAGAATTCTTTTAAGTTCTGAAAATTATGCATGTATAGATTAAGAAGAACTGTATAAATGTAATATATGTGATCTGAGTAGACTTTAAAGTTCAAAGTATACACAGTGCTAAATCCTGAAAACATAGCTATAATCATAGAGAGAGAGATCGAGATCAGAGAGGAGTGCCATACAACAGCCTGAAAATGCATTTTGATTATCGTGAAATATCCGAGGTAAGAAAGAACATTCCACTGTAATCATATAATTAATAAAGTCATGAACTACTATACAATTGATTTACAGAAGAAAAGAAAGTAACTATTTGAGATTAAACTGAACAACATCCGATTTGTCTCTCTTATTTATAAGAATTTAAAACCCATTCAAAGAGTAAGTGTTCTTAGCATTTATAATTGTATAATATTATAATGATATTTAATCAAATTTTACGATAATATATTACTCTGATCGTATATAATGACATAAATATTATATGTAATTGGTTTGTTTGTAAGAAATATTGTTTTTCATCTTTCAAGAGATGATTTACTTATATTTAATAACTTTATATTGTTTATCATTCCTAAACTAGAATAAATGTTTCTTTTCTAGGAATGGGTTTTTGTGTTATTTTATTTTATTTTTAATTTTTTTTGGGGGGGTTTATTTGGTTCTTCTGAAGTTGTGATTTATTCGTCCCTGTAGCTGTGAATAAGAACGAAAGAGCCCAGGACATTGATGAAGACAAGGAAAGAAGACACCTGAGAAGAACCAGTAGTATAAAAGTGACAGGTTGAAATACAAATATTTGGACATTTTTATTTTACTGTAGAAATGTAATGATCTTTGCCTCAATATATCATCAACAATTGTAAGCTCATTAAGTGGTTTGATATTACCCCCTTCTCTCAGTTACCTCTAAGGCTGAAGTTAGATCATAAGTAACCTTTATGAATATATATATTTTAGTGTGGATTCTAAAGAGTACTTTTGGAGAAACCACACATTTGTATTAACAGATAGTGCCCCTCTGGATAAAGTCTGTGTGGTTCCCAGAGCAAAGAGAAGTAATAAGGTCTTTGCTAAGGAGCATAGAAAAAGGGTGGGCGCTATAGGGCATCCACCTGCCGAAACCAAAGCCCTTCGGAAGATGGCATATTCATAACCCTTGTGATGAAGAAGTTCGTGACGTAATAATACCGGATCACTGAACTTCCTTGCACCTTCTTAGGAAATTTCCTTCTGTAGCTCCTGCTCCTTCGCCTTCGCGTTCTCCTTCTCATCTCCTGATCTCTCATTCTCTCAAGCAAGAGAAAGAGAAATAAGAATAGAGAGAGAATTCTTAATTCATATCACAACAGATTTCTTTTTATTTTTATTTTCTGTTTTTTAATGAAATTTGCTGCTTTAACCTACAGAGGCCGTTTTGACACCGGCTTACTTTTTTATAAATAAGAACTGAATGACAATTATAACTATCATCTTCTACCAAACTCGCATGATCTCAAGAAAACCGCTCATAAATAAACTATTCGAAATATCTGCTCTTCATTCATTATTCACTTGCATACTCTTCCTTTATATCTGTGTGTGTGTGTGTGTGTGTGTGTGTGTGTGTGCGTGCGTATGTGTGTGTGTGTGTGTGTGTGTGTGTGTGTGTGTGTGTGTGTGTGTGTGTGTGTGTGTGTGTGTGTGTGTGTGTGTGTGTGTGTGTGTGTGTGTGTGTGTGTGTGTGTGTGTGTGTGTGTGTGTGTGTGTGTGTGTGTGTGTGTGTGTGTGTGTGTGTGTGTGTGTGTGTGTGTGTGTGTGTGTGTGTGTGTGTGTGTGTGTGTGTGTGTGTGTGTGTGTGTGTGTGTGTGTGTGTGTGTGTGTGTGTGTGTGTGTGTGTGTGTGTGTGTGTGTGTGTGTGTGTGTGTGTGTGTGTGTGTGTGTGTGTGTGTGTGTGTGTGTGTGTGTGTGTGTGTGTGTGTGTGTGTGTGTGTGTGTGTGTGTGTGTGTGTGTGTGTGTGTGTGTGTGTGTGTGTGTGTGTGTGTGTGTGTGTGTGTGTGTGTGTGTGTGTGTGTGTGTGTGTGTGTGTGTGTGTGTGTGTGTGTGTGTGTGTGTGTGTGTGTGTGTGTGTGTGTGTGTGTGTGTGTGTGTGTGTGTGTGTGTGTGTGTGTGTGTGTGTGTGTGTGTGTGTGTGTGTGTGTGTGTGTGTGTGTGTGTGTGTGTGTGTGTGTGTGTGTGTGTGTGTGTGTGTGTGTGTGTGTGTGTGTGTGTGTGTGTGTGTGTGTGTGTGTGTGTGTGTGTGTGTGTGTGTGTGTGTGTGTGTGTGTGTGTGTGTGTGTGTGTGTGTGTGTGTGTGTGTGTGTGTGTGTGTGTGTGTGTGTGTGTGTGTGTGTGTGTGTGTGTGTGTGTGTGTGTGTGTGTGTGTGTGTGTGTGTGTGTGTGTGTGTGTGTGTGTGTGTGTGTGTGTGTGTGTGTGTGTGTGTGTGTGTGTGTGTGTGTGTGTGTGTGTGTGTGTGTGTGTGTGTGTGTGTGTGTGTGTGTGTGTGTGTGTGTGTGTGTGTGTGTGTGTGTGTGTGTGTGTGTGTGTGTGTGTGTGTGCTGTTATAGTCCGAGCTTTCACACACACATATATATATATTTAATTCATACATTTATACACAGACAAACACACACATACATATATAAACACATACACACACACACACACACACACACACACACACACACACACACACACACACACACACACACACACATATATATATATATATATATATATACATATATATACACACACATATATCTATATATGCACACAGGAGTGCATCTATGGAAAACCGCGTACAGAGGGCGCTGAAATTGTGCCTCTGACGACAGGTTAGTATAGGTACAGTAAAACCTGAGAAATCCGGATCACTGTCCATTCCGGACGATATTCTCAGTCCCTCCCCATTTCAATAGGCGGCCTGTGTTAAAAGCCCACCCTCTCCAAACCGGATCACTGTCCAAACCGGACATTTTTTACAGTCCCATGGGTGTTCGGTTTTCTCAGGTTTTACTGTATGAATATCTAGTTCTTCAGAAACAGGTTTCATCATATATCGTTGAGAGAGCTTTAACCCAATGGTGCCGGGGAAAATGAACAAAAAATGAGGAAGATATTGTGCCCACTTTCTATGTTTTTCGTGAAATGTCTGCCGATAGATGGCTCTGCTAGCGCCTGATTTAAATGGCGGGAAAAACGTATTATTCACTAGTGCTATGAAAATCCATGCTATTATTTTTATCATAAACATTATAATTTTTATAATTTTTTTTAACATTAGTAACAGCAAAATAAGATTACGTAAAATATTTTGTAAATCAAAGAAACGGGTAAACGGGCGACGTGGGCGGTGCTCGTAACTGGCTCATTGGGGAGTTAGTACAAGTGTTGCCATCTATGCGTAAAAACAATCAAACAAGTACTCACTGTGGGCATAGCACGTACGTACACGTCATACCCGGCACCAAGGGGTTAATGAGAAACGTATACCTTAGGTTAGTTATTTCACTGACATCGAATGTCCCTAATGATTATCCCAGTGAATATTCCGTATATTTCGTGTTAGAAAAGTATACTCTAAATCTTCTAGACTTTGGTCAGTAACAATATATCTAAGTGAATATTATCCAAAGACTAAAATCATCCACATTATCTACAATAATAGGACGGAAAATACATAACTGATCAATTGTGTAGGCCGTTTAAGATATAACTTGGAGTAAAGAAAAGCTGATATAAAAATTAAAGGGCTGGCTATTCTTAAACCTCATTCTACGCTTTATATATATATATATGTATATATATATATAATGTATGTATATATGTATGTACGTGCGTGTGTGTGCATGCTGTGTATGTCTATGCGTAAAATGCGTGCGTGTATGGGTATCCGTGAACAGTGCCCATGCATACATGAACACAAAATTCAATGCAATTAGTGTATTCGTACAAATGCTCTAAGTTCATTCATTCATATGTCTAGTAACTAAAGACAGAGAGGAAAAAATTAATTAAATATAGGGGTCGAAAACTTTATTTCAAACAATATAAATATAATAAATTTAGAATATTTTTGTATTTATTCTCTTCCAATTCTGTTCAGTCGAGAACGGCAATAAAGTCTTTATAAATAAGGGCTTATTATATGTCTATAAATTAATACATATACGTATACCTACACACTGATGTACGTGCATCACTGTGTCTGTCTATGTGTATGTGCTCATCCATGAACCTGGACTTTGCGCTCACAGATGATGCCCTTGTCGTGGTGGCAGGCGATGTCGTGCCACTTGATGTCGTCGCCGTAGACGTTGTTGAGAACCCCCAGGCAGTGCTCGTTCCCCTCTCGGTTGTCTGGTTGTGGTCGATGATTCCTGGTGATCACATTGGTACGAGTTAGAAGAGTTTCCGGCAAAATGTAGCCTTTGGATATGTCTGAGTAGAAGGAAAAGCCAGGAAGCACTTACCCGCCGGTGTGAGACCAGTTCAGACCCACGAATTCTTCACCTGAAGCCCAGGCGAAGCCGTGGTTCCTGATATGACCTGAGGTCCAAATCCATGGTAGCTTATCTAAAAACAAGATAAAAAGGGACACATTTAGCAAACTTAGCCACATACCTTCGTGGACTCGAGTCTCGAGCCTTCAAGGTCCGAGTCCGAACCACAAAATACAAAAGAAAGGATCAGCTTCAAATATTACCTTCTATAATTGCGTTCCTGACGAGACTGTCCTCTTGGTGAGTCCCGATGCTGATGCCCTGCCAGCCGGAGCCAAGGTTGCCGCAGTACTGGTTAGCGCCATCCCACGTGTAGGTCTTGCGGCCGTCATGGCGCCACGAGAAGTGGTATTCGCTGTCGCCCTGCCTGTCGTCCACCTGAAGTTGGCCGAACCAAGAATGTTTGATATTAGGGGAGATTTCCTTAATCGACATCGACAGCAGGAAATGCGAAAGATTTAACTCAGTACATGTATATATCTGTGTGAATACCTTCAAGGGGCCTTCGAGACTCACCGGGACACCATTGGAACTGGAATGCTTGTGTCCACCATGGAGATGCTCCCCAACAGCCGCAGCAGCCAAAGCCAACATCAACAAGAACTTCATCTGTAAATCAGAGACGAGTATAGTTTCAGTGCGATGTAAATAGAAGTTTGATTAAAAGTCTCCAGACATTCAGAAAATCGTCCTCAAACTTCACAAAAAACGCATGTAGTTCCTTGTCATTAAACAAAACCATTATTTCTAACACGTCAACAAAAACCACACCATCACGTCAACACAAAACATTCGCACATCACATTAGACACTTCTTTATACAAATGTCTTAAATTGACTAAATGTCACCTGGTCAATAGGCTTCACTACAAAGGTGTTTTCTAAGTGAACACTAAAGATAGCACAGGTCCCCTCTCTCTCTCTCTCGCCAGCCTTCTTACCATGAGTAGCAGACGAGCGAATGTAAAGACCACATGCAAAACCTTCCTTTTATATGCAACGAGGTTCCGTTGGTATGCGTCTTGAGTCTCTCCTCTTTTTAGGTCATGATTCTGCATAAACAAATTTCTCCCCGCTTGTCCTTCATAACTTAGAAGGATAAACTAAGAAAATAGTGTAAAGAAATATTACATGGAGGAATCATTGGAGTTTATATTTGTGTACAGCTACACAGAAAACTATCGTTAGAAAATTATGCTCAGCATTCTGACACAAACAACGAAACTTTTTTGAAATATAGTTGTTAACGCCGGGAAACTGTTGGTGTCCCTGATTTTGGTAAATTAAACAATTAAGAGGCTATAGATTCGCAAGTCATTTATAATATGGTATGATACGTTGCCACTTATTATTATTATGTTGCGTCAGTCATAATACGAGGGAAGACATGTGTTAGATTTGCCAGACAAGTACTACTGACACGTTTTTTTTTTAATTATTATAATACCTAATGACTATTGACATATTTCATTTAGATCAAAATAAGGAAAATAATATATTGGTGACATATTTAGGTTTGATATTTTGGGTTCCTACCCCCTGCTGCCAAAACATAGTTCAAGCGTCGAAACATAGACGCCACTAACTCGGCTGTCAACGCATGCCTTCCTCACAGCATAGACGTTCCAACGCTTGCAAGGCATTATTGACGACTGCGCCACGATTACGAGTGTGGTCTTCATACATGTATTTTGACATGGCTGCCCATACGTTTTCAATAGGGTTGAAATCCGGAGCTCTGGATGGATTTGACACAAACGCGGTGTTGGAAGGGCCACGAAACCAATCTTGACAACATGGCTGGTATGGCTAAGATAGAAGGGATCCACTTTAGGAAACACCAAAACCCTAGCTGTTGAGACGAAAACCTCAAGGATTTCTACATACCTGCTGTCAGTAAGTCAGCCAAAGCCGACATCCATTACCTCCCCGACACCACTTACATCCACCCAAACAATCCTGCGGTGATTCGGCCATTCCTCGTCTTCGCGATCACATTCTCTGGTTCAGATCTGTTAAGCCCCCCATTCACGCTACAGTCTTTAGCAATGGTAGGGTTATGGTATGGTCAACTGCACAAACCTATGCCCGAGTGGGTAGGCCACTCACGTTACATTCTCTTGCTCAGTTTTCCCAACGTTTTGAATCGGAAAGATGTCTCTCTCTGATTGTTTTTCATCGGACGATTTAGTACATGTAGCATGTACATGTAGCTTACATGTACATGTAAGCCTCATTTTTTAACATTTCTATTTGAATATTCTTTGCTTTTTATTTTCCACAAACACGGGAAACTTCTATACAGTTCTATTACTTCACTTAAGAATTCTCTGCTAAATCTATTTTCCATGTTGGGGAAAATGTACCTGAAAATAAAAAAAGATAAACGAAATTAGCAAATATATTTTTCAGCTAAACACGTGCTCACGATTTCCTTTAGTCAAAACTGAGCAAATTGGGTGAAAACACCCACACACGGTTATGGTCTGCGTTATGGTACAGCCACAAGCCGCGAAAATATCAAACACGTTGGATATTGTTATGTTAAGGTTCCGTCCAACTGCGCAAACCAAAAAATGCCCCACTCACGCTACATTAACTGCACAGTTTTACTGAACCATACTTGAACCGCAGCTATTTTACGTAGCGTGAATGGGGGGCTTTAAATGATGACGCTGCATTAAATATAGAAATGAAGATACATGAAAATGTTTCAACGTTCATTTCTATTAAAACAAACATCTTTCTACAAATTATCAAGCGAAGGGAAATATGAGGCGGGGGGGGGAGGGGGGTCGCCGTCACCCACCTGGTGTTTTGTTGACGCCATACTTACATATCTCGCAGCGTTGGCGCCTTCAGAAAGAAAAGTTTTCTCGTCGCAGATTATTTTTGTGTTCTAGAGGGCCTGAGGTATGTCTTCACATTGCAAGGCATATTCCAACCTTTTCGGGAATAAGACACAGTGAATCCTCCATAGCAAATCCGGAACAACTATTCGATACATTATGAATTAGAACGAGACCAATTCGAAGCCTAAAATACCAACCCTTCCGTAGCATAAGGTTCTGTTCGTTATTGAATGTTTCGACACCCCTCCTATCGATAGCTTTCTGTGCAGCTGTACATGGATACAGAATTATATATATATACATATATATATATATATATATATATATATATACATGTGTATATATATATGTGTGTGTGTGTGTGTGTGTGTGTGTGTGTGTGTCTGTGTGTGTGTGTGTGTGTGTGTGTGTGTGTGTGTGTGTGTGTGTGTGTGTGTGTGTGTGTGTATTTATATATGAATGTATATATTTAGGTGTGTATGATTATGCATGCTTCTCCCTGTAAATCTTCTCTATCTATATTTATGTATTTACTTATAAGAAAGTATAAGTTAATATATAGAGACAAACGCACATATATGAAACATAACAATGTGTTTATGTCTGCACACACACACACACACACACACACACATATATATGTATACATATGTGTATATATATATAATATATATATATATATATATATATATATATATATATTATTATTCATGTCTGCATATATATGTATACATATGTATATATATATACATATATATATATATATATATATATATATATATATATATTTATATATATATATACCTGTGTCTGTATGCGTGTGTTTATGAGAGTGTATGTGAGGGTATGTATGTGTGTATTGACAAGCGAACTACTGTCAACTATCTGCATAGGGTTTACGGCATAGAAGGTGGGCGGATGTCGTTAGCTTGTTTGGCGTGTTAGGGACCTAAGATATTTGCCTATTACTCTATAAGTACTCGAAGCTAATGGCTGTCATGCCTAAGATGGGGTAGCTGGAGGGCCGAAATGAGTATTTTAGTTGTTTTGTGTTTTTTTTATCATTTGCTTGTGTATCCTTAGTTATGCTCAAAATTCCATTTTATTAATGTTTTTAGATTTCCTTCTTTTAGAAGTATTATTTATTTATTTATTTAATTTCCGCCATGATTTTATAATTTGTTTTAACTCTCTTTTATTTACTGTATTCTCCTCTGCCCTCGCTAATACTGCTTAACAGTTTTGCAGCCTGTTACTGCTATATATGTATAACAGGCCATTCACTACACATTTATGTATGTATATCACACACACACACACATACAAATGTATATCCTATGCATTCCATTAACCTTGACCCATTGTTTTTCGCAGATACCTTGCAACGAATAGTCAGATCAGAATGGCACTTCAGCACGGTATTTTTCACACCTTGCTCCCATTTTGGCGCTATAGTGCATAATCAATTATACTCAATTACGGTGTTTATTCTCGGCTTTGATAGCGTAGTATCCTTAAGTCGAGAAGGCATTCGAACAGATAAAAGGTGACGTAACTGTGACGTTACAAATTCACTATTTCTCTGTTCTCACTTCCGCCCCCTTTCCCTTCCTCTTCTTCCTCGCTCACTCCATCTTCGCTCTTCCCGCCCCCTTCCCCCACTCACCTTCTCTTGTGAATTATATATATATATATGTGTATGTATGTGTGTGTGTGTGTGTGTGTATACATACATATATATACATACATATATACACATACATACATATATATATATATATATATATATATATATATATATATATGCATACATACATATACATACATACATATATAT